GGGTGGAAAGCATTTTGGAGAGGGGGAAGGGGGGCTGGAGTGGGTGGAAAGCATGCAGGAGAGGGGGAAGGGGGGCTGGAGTGGGTGGAAAAGCATGCAGGAGAGGGGGAAGGGGGGCTGGAGTGGGTGGAAAGCATGCAGGAGAGGGGGAAGGGGGGCTGGAGTGGGTGGAAAGCATGCAGGAGAGGGGGAAGGGGGGCTGAAGTGGGTGGAAAGCATGCAGGAGAGGGGGAAGGGGGGCTGGAGTGGGTGGAAAGCATGCAGGAGAGGGGGAAGGGGGGCTGGAGTGGGTGGAAAGCATGCAGGAGAGGGGGAAGGGGGGCTGGAGTGGGTGGAAAGCATGCAGGAGAGAGGGAAGGAGGGCTGGAGTGAGTGGAAAGCATGCAGGAGAGGGGGAAGGGGGGCTGGAGTGGGTGGAAAGCATGCAGGAGAGGGGGAAGGGGGGCTGGAGTGAGTGGAAAGCATGCAGGAGAGGGGGAAGGGGGGCTGGAGTGGGTGGAAAGCATGCAGGAGAGGGGGAAGGGGGGCTGGAGTGGGTGGAAAGCATGCAGGAGAGGGGGAAGGGGGGCTGGAGTGGGTGGAAAGCATGCAGGAGAGGGGGAAGTGGGGCTGGAGTGGGTGGAGAGCATGCAGGAGAGGGGGAAGGGGGGCTGGAGTGGGTGGAAAGCATGCAGGAGAGGGGGAAGGGGGGCTGGAGTGGGTGGAAAGCATGCAGGAGAGGGGGAAGGGGGGCTGGAGTGGGTGGAAAGCATGCAGGAGAGGGGGAAGTGGGGGCTGGAGTGGGTGGAAAGCATGCAGGAGAGGGGGAAGGGGGGCTGGAGTGGGTGGAAAGCATTTTGGAGAGGGGGAAGGGGGGCTGGAGTGGGTGGAAAGCATGCAGGAGAGGGGGAAAGGGGGCTGGAGTGGGTGGAAAGCATGCAGGAGAGGGGGAATGGGGGCTAAGGTGGGTGGAAAGAATGCAGGAGAGGGGGAAGGGGGGCTGGAGTGGGTGGAAAGCATGCAGGAGAGGGGGAAGTGGGGCTGGAGTGGGTGGAAAGCATGCAGGAGAGGGGGAAGGGGGGCTGGAGTGGGTGGAAAGCATGCAGGAGAGGGGGAAGTGGGGCTGGAGTGGGTGGAAAGCATGCAGGAGAGGGGGAAGTGGGGCTGGAGTGGGTGGAAAGCATGCAGGAGAGGGGGAAGTGGGGCTGGAGTGGGTGGAAAGCATGCAGGAGAGGGGGAAGGGGGGCTAAAGTGGGTGGAAAGCATGCAGGAGAGGGGGAAGGGGGGCTGGAGTGGGTGGAAAGCATGCAGGAGAGGGGGAAGTGCGGCTGGAGTGAGTGGAAAGCATGCAGGAGAGGGGGAAGGGGGGCTGGAGTGGGTGGAAAGCATGCAGGAGAGGGGGAAGTGGGGCTGGAGTGGGTGGAGAGCATGCAGGAGAGGGGGAAGGGGGGCTGGAGTGGGTGGAAAGCATGCAGGAGAGGGGGAAGGGGGGCTGGAGTGGGTGGAAAGCATGCAGGAGAGGGGGAAGGGGGGCTGGAGTGGGAGGAAAGCATGCAGGAGAGGGGGAAGTGGGGCTGGAGTGGGTGGAGAGCATGCAGGAGAGGGGGAAGGGGGGCTGGAGTGGGTGGAACGCATGCAGGAGAGGGGGAAGGGGGGCTGGAGTGGGTGGAAAGCATGCAGGAGAGGGGGAAGGGGGGCTGGAGTGGGTGGAAAGCATGCAGGAGAGGGGGAAGTGGGGCTGGAGTGGGTGGAAAGCATGCAGGAGAGGGGGAAGGGGGGCTGGAGTGGGTGGAAAGCATTTTGGAGAGGGGGAAGGGGGGCTGGAGTGGGTGGAAAGCATGCAGGAGAGGGGGAAAGGGGGCTGGAGTGGGTGGAAAGCATTTTGGAGAGGGGGAAGGGGGGCTGGAGTGGGTGGAAAGCATTTTGGAGAGGGGGAAGGGGGGCTGGAGTGGGTGGAAAGCATGCAGGAGAGGGGGAAGGGGGGCTGGAGTGGGTGGAAAAGCATGCAGGAGAGGGGGAAGGGGGGCTGGAGTGGGTGGAAAGCATGCAGGAGAGGGGGAAGGGGGGCTGGAGTGGGTGGAAAGCATGCAGGAGAGGGGGAAGTGCGGCTGGAGTGAGTGGAAAGCATGCAGGAGAGGGGGAAGGGGGGCTGGAGTGGGTGGAAAGCATGCAGGAGAGGGGGAAGGGGGGCTGGAGTGAGTGGAAAGCATGCAGGAGAGGGGGAAGGGGGGCTGGAGTGGGTGGAAAGCATGCAGGAGAGGGGGAAGGGGGGCTGGAGTGGGTGGAAAGCATGCAGGAGAGGGGGAAGTGGGGCTGGAGTGGGTGGAAAGCATGCAGGAGAGGGGGAATGGGGGCTGGAGTGGGTGGAAAGCATGCAGGAGAGGGGGAAGTGGGGCTGGAGTGGGTGGAAAGCATGCAGGAGAGGGGGAAGGGGGGCTGGAGTGGGTGGAAAGCATGCAGGAGAGGGGGAAAGGGGGCTGGAGTGGGTGGAAAGCATTTTGGAGAGGGGGAAGGGGGGCTGGAGTGGGTGGAAAGCATTTTGGAGAGGGGGAAGGGGGGCTGGAGTGGGTGGAAAGCATGCAGGAGAGGGGGAAGGGGGGCTGGAGTGGGTGGAAAAGCATGCAGGAGAGGGGGAAGGGGGGCTGGAGTGGGTGGAAAGCATGCAGGAGAGGGGGAAGGGGGGCTGGAGTGGGTGGAAAGCATGCAGGAGAGGGGGAAGGGGGGCTGGAGTGGGTGGAAAGCATGCAGGAGAGAGGGAAGGAGGGCTGGAGTGAGTGGAAAGCATGCAGGAGAGGGGGAAGGGGGGCTGGAGTGGGTGGAAAGCATGCAGGAGAGGGGGAAGGGGGGCTGGATTGAGTGGAAAGCATGCAGGAGAGGGGGAAGGGGGGCTGGAGTGGGTGGAAAGCATGCAGGAGAGGGGGAAGTGCGGCTGGAGTGAGTGGAAAGCATGCAGGAGAGGGGGAAGGGGGGCTGGAGTGGGTGGAAAGCATGCAGGAGAGGGGGAAGGGGGGCTGGAGTGGGTGGAAAGCATGCAGGAGAGGGGGAAGTGGGGCTGGAGTGGGTGGAGAGCATGCAGGAGAGGGGGAATGGGGGCTGGAGTGGGTGGAAAGCATGCAGGAGAGGGGGAATGGGGGCTAAGGTGGGTGGAAAGCATGCAGGAGAGGGGGAAGGGGGGCTGGAGTGGGTGGAAAGCATGCAGGAGAGGGGGAAGTGGGGCTGGAGTGGGTGGAAAGCATGCAGGAGAGGGGGAGGGGGGGCTGGAGTGGGTGGAAAGCATGCAGGAGAGGGGGAAGGGGGGCTGGAGTGGGTGGAAAGCATTTTGGAGAGGGGGAAGGGGGGCTGGAGTGGGTGGAAAGCATGCAGGAGAGGGGGAAAGGGGGCTGGAGTGGGTGGAAAGCATGCAGGAGAGGGGGAATGGGGGCTAAGGTGGGTGGAAAGCATGCAGGAGAGGGGGAAGGGGGGCTGGAGTGGGTGGAAAGCATGCAGGAGAGGGGGAAGTGGGGCTGGAGTGGGTGGAAAGCATGCAGGAGAGGGGGAAGGGGGGCTGGAGTGGGTGGAAAGCATGCAGGAGAGGGGGAAGTGGGGCTGGAGTGGGTGGAAAGCATGCAGGAGAGGGGGAAGTGGGGCTGGAGTGGGTGGAAAGCATGCAGGAGAGGGGGAAGTGGGGCTGGAGTGGGTGGAAAGCATGCAGGAGAGGGGGAAGGGGGGCTAAAGTGGGTGGAAAGCATGCAGGAGAGGGGGAAGTGGGGCTGGAGTGGTTGGAAAGCATGCAGGAGAGGGGGAATGGGGGCTGGAGTGGGTGGAAAGCATGCAGGAGAGGGGGAAGGGGGGCTAAAGTGGGTGGAAAGCATGCAGGAGAGGGGGAAGGGGGGCTGGAGTGGGTGGAAAGCATGCAGGAGAGGGGGAAGTGCGGCTGGAGTGAGTGGAAAGCATGCAGGAGAGGGGGAAGGGGGGCTGGAGTGGGTGGAAAGCATGCAGGAGAGGGGGAAGGGGGGCTGGAGTGGGTGGAAAGCATGCAGGAGAGGGGGAAGTAGGGCTGGAATGGGTGGAAAGCATGCAGGAGAGGGGGAATGGGGGCTGGAGTGGGTGGAAAGCATGCAGGAGAGGGGGAATGGGGGCTAAGGTGGGTGGAAAGCATGCAGGAGAGGGGGAAGGGGGGCTGGAGTGGGTGGAAAGCATGCAGGAGAGGGGGAAAGGGGGCTGGAGTGGGTGGAAAGCATTTTGGAGAGGGGGAAGGGGGGCTGGAGTGGGTGGAAAGCATTTTGGAGAGGGGGAAGGGGGGCTGGAGTGGGTGGAAAGCATGCAGGAGAGGGGGAAGGGGGGCTGGAGTGGGTGGAAAAGCATGCAGGAGAGGGGGAAGGGGGGCTGGAGTGGGTGGAAAGCATGCAGGAGAGGGGGAAGGGGGGCTGGAGTGGGTGGAAAGCATGCAGGAGAGGGGGAAGGGGGGCTGGAGTGGGTGGAAAGCATGCAGGAGAGAGGGAAGGAGGGCTGGAGTGAGTGGAAAGCATGCAGGAGAGGGGGAAGGGGGGCTGGAGTGGGTGGAAAGCATGCAGGAGAGGGGGAAGGGGGGCTGGAGTGAGTGGAAAGCATGCAGGAGAGGGGGAAGGGGGGCTGGAGTGGGTGGAAAGCATGCAGGAGAGGGGGAAGTGCGGCTGGAGTGGTTGGAAAGCATGCAGGAGAGGGGGAATGGGGGCTGGAGTGGGTGGAAAGCATGCAGGAGAGGGGGAAGGGGGGCTAAAGTGGGTGGAAAGCATGCAGGAGAGGGGGAAGGGGGGCTGGAGTGGGTGGAAAGCATGCAGGAGAGGGGGAAGTGCGGCTGGAGTGAGTGGAAAGCATGCAGGAGAGGGGGAAGGGGGGCTGGAGTGGGTGGAAAGCATGCAGGAGAGGGGGAAGGGGGGCTGGAGTGGGTGGAAAGCATGCAGGAGAGGGGGAAGTAGGGCTGGAGTGGGTGGAAAGCATGCAGGAGAGGGGGAATGGGGGCTGGAGTGGGTGGAAAGCATGCAGGAGAGGGGGAATGGGGGCTAAGGTGGGTGGAAAGCATGCAGGAGAGGGGGAAGGGGGGCTGGAGTGGGTGGAAAGCATGCAGGAGAGGGGGAAAGGGGGCTGGAGTGGGTGGAAAGCATTTTGGAGAGGGGGAAGGGGGGCTGGAGTGGGTGGAAAGCATTTTGGAGAGGGGGAAGGGGGGCTGGAGTGGGTGGAAAGCATGCAGGAGAGGGGGAAGGGGGGCTGGAGTGGGTGGAAAAGCATGCAGGAGAGGGGGAAGGGGGGCTGGAGTGGGTGGAAAGCATGCAGGAGAGGGGGAAGGGGGGCTGGAGTGGGTGGAAAGCATGCAGGAGAGGGGGAAGGGGGGCTGGAGTGGGTGGAAAGCATGCAGGAGAGAGGGAAGGAGGGCTGGAGTGAGTGGAAAGCATGCAGGAGAGGGGGAAGGGGGGCTGGAGTGGGTGGAAAGCATGCAGGAGAGGGGGAAGGGGGGCTGGAGTGAGTGGAAAGCATGCAGGAGAGGGGGAAGGGGGGCTGGAGTGGGTGGAAAGCATGCAGGAGAGGGGGAAGTGCGGCTGGAGTGAGTGGAAATCATGCAGGAGAGGGGGAAGTGGGGCTGGAGTGGGTGGAAAGCATGCAGGAGAGGGGGAATGAGGGCTAAGGTGGGTGGAAAGCATGCAGGAGAGGGGGAAGGGGGGCTGGAGTGGGTGGAAAGCATGCAGGAGAGGGGGAAGTGGGGGCAGTGAGAAAAAATGGCATATCCATACGACCGGGAATGCACCTGCAAAACTTGCGTGTTGATGCCTGCCCGTCTGAGTCGCAGAACCATCGCACTCATGGCGGGTTCACCAACAGTCAAGACGTAGCTCCGAAACACTGAGTCGGTGATGTCCCCCAGGACCATCTTCTTGTGGGTCTTAGTAAGCACCCTCTGGCCAGCCAGGCATGCCTGTCACCGTGGAGAGGAGAGGGTTGGTATAGGGAGGGGGAGGGTTGTATGGTGAGTCCTTTTGGAGGGAGGAGGAGGGGGGGGGGATAGGGGATGGATGCGAGGTATAGGCGAAGAAGGGAAAGGCCACGAAGTGGGAATGGGTGTGGGGGAAAGGGGGAAAGGTTGTGGGGACGAAGAAGGTTATGGGGGGGTAGGAATCGATGACTTTGGTTAGGTTGGTCCTACATGTCATTGCCAACTCATGCAGAGAGCATGGAAACAGAAGTGCGGGCAAAGAGACGAGCGAACAGAACGTGGCACAGAGCAGGGCAGACACAGAAGTGAACAAATCTGGGAAACAGTGAAGGGAACAGAGCGGGGCACATGGCAGGGCAGACACAGAAGTGAACAAATCAGGGAAACAGTGAAGGGAACAGAGCGGGGCACATAGCAGGGCAGACACAGAAGTGAACGAATCAGGGAAACGATGAAGGGAACAGAGCGGGGCACAGAGGTGGGCAGACACAGATGTGAACAAATCAGGGAAACGGTGAAGGGAACAGAGCAGGGCACAGAGCAGGGCAGACACAGAACGGAACATGGCAGGGTAACAGCGCAGGGAACAGAGCAGGGAACCAGAACAGGGCACCGAGTAGGGGAGACACAGCTTGGGACCGGCATGTAGCGCGGGAAGGTGACGACCAGCCAAGCGTGTAACGCCACCCAGCCATGCAGCACCCAGCCATGCAGCACCCAGCCATGCAGCACCCAGCCATGCAGCACCCAGCCATGCAGCACCCAGCCATGCAGCACCCAGCCATGCAGCACCCAGCCATGCAGCACCCAGCCATGCAGCACCCAGCCATGCAGCACCCAGCCATGCAGCACCCAGCCATGCAGCACCCAGCCATGCAGCACCCAGACATGCAGCACCCAGCCATGCAGCACCCAGCCATGCAGCACCCAGCCATGCAGCACCCAGCCATGCAGCACCCAGCCATGCAGCACCCAGCCATACGTCACCTCAACAGGACACCGATTGTGCTCTGAGCAGGACGCACCTGATCGGGCAGAATGGTCAACGGCAAAGACGACAAAATGGCCGCCCGGAAGGGTACATGGCAAATGGATACTATGATTGCTCGCAACAAGTACAGAATGAGGATACGGGGCTAAATCTGGTGAGGAGCAGGGAGGGAACAAGCATGGGGAAAGGAGCAGAGGGAACAAGGAGCAGGGATTGAGCTATCCTTTCAGCAGCGTCGATGACTTATGAGAGCTGTCAAAAGCGGCGATGATGATGACGGTGCCGTTGCTCGTCATATTGACTCGCCATCGCCAGCTGCTCGTGCAGCTTCGACGCCCGCGATGCTCGGGAGGCCGCCTCTCGCAACCTACAATGTCGGCACTCGCAAAGCAGTTGGCGACGCACGGGACACTCGCTCGAATCGCCGTCGCCAATAGGAAACATTAGGGATGACCGCCAACAGTGTTAGTGCTACTACCGCTGACTGGGCGAAAGTTGATGTTTCTATTAAGACTATCCAACGAGCAGGTGGAAGAATCATGGCCAGGAAAGTAAGAAATTGGCAGGAAGCTGCGGGAGGGAAGCCGGCAGAATAGAGCGCCGTTTCTTTCTCTGATGCCTCCTGCTGTCAATTGCGCATTCGTGCCTTTTGCGGCGGCGCCGTTGCGCAGGAGGGATTGTGGAAGGGCGAAGAAGGATGGAGAGTGGGGAGGAGGTGCGAAAGTGATGTCCCCTTCGTAATACAAATGTTCTACCACGTTCTCACATCCTGTAGCTAGTACGGATTAAATTGTGAGCATCACATGCAAGTGCCATCTTGCCGATTTTCTAGTCAACTTGAAATTCGCACGATGGAACTCTATCAACTCTACCATATCGTTTTTGAGCACTTCACGATTAAGGTCGCGATAAGGCAGGTCGCGGGATGAGCAGTACGTCACGGGCTGAGCAGTAAGTAGTTCGCTATGTCGCCAGGTCGCCAAATCGCTGGTCGCTAGTGCCAATAATCCTCTTCAATAGCTACTTGCTCTTTGTATACTGGAAGATTTGCTGTAGGGTCCATTAGGGTTTCGATTCGTTCCGTTACTGTGAGAGAGAATGAAGAGGTCGGTGTTCGTGAAACAGGGTCAGCTGCTGTCCTGATTTGTCAAGTCGCAGACCTGGCGGGATTTTTTAGTAGCTGGACACGCCCTGCTGGCATGCCACGCCACCATAGAAACTTGTCACCCTAGAAATCGCGAGAGAATGGTAACTTGACAGTCCATTCGCATCCGTCGGGATCCACACCACAATCCACGGCTGAATGGGAGGTCGCAAACTCGCTAATTCCACGTCACCAACCCTGGTTGGGATGTTGGAGCCACGCAAGAGATCTGCAAAGAAATTTTGGCTAGGAACTGGGCGATCATCATCGCCCTCAACTCCCACCCTCACCTCCCTGCTTCTGTCTTCTCCACTTCATTTCCTAGCTTAGTAGCTTCCTCTCGGGACTCCTCGTCTGCTGGTAACACTATTTTTTTGGTTTAACCGTCTACAGATATTAGGCTGTAGAATTAGGCTCGGCTCTGTGACGCACACAACTTCACAAACGAATAAAAACAACCATTTCCTGGAATCTCTGCACCTCGATGGCAACTTCGGACGGCGCGGGGCGCCTCATTCGGCTCAGCTTACTCATCTTTCTGACGTGTCTCGCCGTGGTTTCTCCAGTCCGCTGTGTCCCGTTCGTCGACTCCCAAGGTTCGTCCAACGAACCTTTTGTTTCACCCCCGTACTATGTACTTGTTCTGCTAGATATAGAGCTGTTGAGCAAATTTGTAACAAGATGGGATTCGCCATGCCTGCGTGCATGGGAATACCCGAACGGTTGGAACCTCCCTTTGCCTAGGTAGTTCCCTTTCCCTTATCCTCCTCAGTGATTAGATGTTACCAAAATCAAGCAGGACATGGCATCGAGGCGTTATGCCAAGATGCCATGCTAGATTGAGTGCCAAGACCCCAAAACCGTGACGGTTTTCCCCCAAGTCGCCATCCCTTCTTCCTAGCATTAATATCCACCTCAAAATCTTGTATTATAATCTCATCCTATTCTTTCCTTGGGGTCTTTAATCCTATATTTTAGAAAGTCTTCTTCTCTCTTCTTTCCCCTACGTCTCCAGAGCTGGGCTTCTCCCTCCAGCCTAGCTCCCTTTTCTTCTGCTGCAAGACTCTCCTCTTATTCTTTCTTAGCTATGGCGCCTCTCCTTAGGCGCTGGCCCGGCCAGGCTAGCCGCGCCGTGCATCGCTGCGCCATAGCTCCTGTTTCAAAATTGATTGTAGGAGAACCTAATAGTACATAGTATGGGGGGCAACAATTTTGGGATCATTGCAAAACGAACTTAGCAATCAGTGGCCCGCCCTCGACCCCCGTGGCGGCTGCGCAGGAGGGTGGGGCAGGAGTGCAGCAGCAGGAGTTTAGGGTTGCGGCTGCGCGGGCGGGTGGGTCAGGAGGGCAGGAGCAGGAGGTCGGGGTGGCTGCTGAGGAGTATCGTCGAGGAGATGAGCGACAGGCCGCCGTAACAAGGAGTCACCGCACGGCCAGTGGCAGCGGTCAGACGGGCCCTTCGACCGGGTGGCCTTCGACGGTAGGCCAATCGACGGCGAACGTTGCACCGGGAGGCCAGGTCGTCGAGCTACTGCAGAGGGTCGAGAAGGTCGAGGCGTCGCAGAAGCAGCTCGTCGCCGATGTCTTTGCGAAACACACTGAGCAAGCCGGAGTATTCAACAGGCTTGCTGCGGATTTTCGGACGGCGTGGAATACGATTTCGGAGTTGTCGAAGAGCACACTGTCGCAGTGTGCCGAGGCTGTGAAGGGTGTCACGGCGGAGAGGAACCTGTTGGAAGGGGCGCGGGCGAAGATCGACGAGATGAGCGGAAGATCATCGAGGGGGTGGCAGCCGCCATCACAAAAGCGAGCGAAGACGCCGTCGAGAAGCAGCTCAAGCAGGTCGAGGAGCGGCTGGTTGTTGCGGTGCTGAAGGGTTTCGAGAAAGCCATCATGGAGGACATGTTTTGCTCCACCCTCCCACCCGAGACCATGAAGGAGCTGAAGGACATTGTGAGGGAAGGCTACCATGAAGCCGAAGCAGGGAGGTTGGAAGTCCTCACGGAATCGATGGCGAGAGGTTTTCAGCGCTCGGCGGGCCCGTCGACGAGGTCGCGTCAGGAGGGTGTGGGAGGGGTTCGCAGCGGGGCTGAGCCTCGAGGTCACGAGCGGTCGGTTCCTCCGTCTTCTTCGGTGGGAGGACATGTCGGCAGCCCGGTTGGATCCCCACCGGCGCGTGGCCGTCATCCCGTCGCCAAGCCCGTCCCCGAAGTCATCGTACTCGACCAGTCAGCCCTCCCGAAGACCTCCGTAGCAGCTCCCATCGATCAACCTGATGCGTTTGCTTTCATGCGGGACATGCTGCAAGGCCTGGGGAAAACGGGTGGGAAAGGAGTGGTCGCGGGGGAGAAAAGTGGTGCCCCGAACGAGCACGTCGCCTCGACCGGGAACAGAGCCCTAGGAATGCGAGGTGCCTCTACCCCGTCAGGCGGCGGTGCGGGGAAAAGAGCGGGAGAATCAAGCGCTGGGTTGCTGTCGAAGACTAAAGCGGCATTAGCTGCGCAAGGCGGTGGTGTTGGCCTTGCTGTCGGGCTTGTGGGAAATTGGGTGTCTTCCTCGACCCCTCCAGTTGCTCCTGTCGCCGCTGCTGCGTCCCTAGGCAACGTTTGCCTTAGTGATCCGGGCTCCCCTTCAACGTCGAAGAAGAAGTCGGCTGTGACGAAGTCGTCGAAGCGCGCTGCACACGCGACAGAGAGCCTTGACGTGGTGGAGCTGGCCAGCGTCCCTGGTCAAGCACCTGTCGAGAAGACCTCTATTGTCGTTGCTGCTCGAGAGGAAAAGGCGAAGAAGGCCAGGGTCACGGGTCACACCCCACCTCCTCGACCGGACGACCAAGGCAAGACGAGAGGATGCAAACGTCCCTTCAAAGGATCAGGTTTCGGGTTGCGGAAGGGGAAGCCGGTTTCCGAGCAGACCGTCGGCGGGAGGAAGCGGCTCCTTGGCACTTTTGAAACAGAGAAGGACCAAAAGTTCTGTACGGCCGTCTGCTGGCGCGTGTACTTCCCCGACGTTGTCCTTACAGAGTACGAAGGGTACACGGCGCAGGATGAGGAGGACTGGAAGGTCTACCTCGATGCGGTCGCAGAAATGCCAACCGGCATTTGGAGCGTGGCGCAAGAACAAGGGGAATGTCGTTTCGACGAGTAAGTCCTGTCGAAGTCATGTTGCTAGACTCTGCTGTCGAGTTCCTGCTGTTTTGGTGAATTGTCGAACACCTGCTGTTTTGCGGTGAATGTTCTGTCGGTCGAATTCTGGCCTCTTGACTAACGCATTTCTTGCGATGTCAGTTACCTGTTGCTGTTGGCGACGGCAAAAAAGGAAGTGAAAGCTGGAACTGAGAGGGGAATCGCGCAGTGCGTGTTGATTGGTAAGGTCGCGACGCTTGGCCTGAAGCACGGGAATCTGATTTACCCGGTCCCGAAGGGCATGGCGGCGACACCGCACATGATGGCCATCGCAGCAACTGTGGCGAGCTTGTGAGCGGCCTGCAGGAAGTTGTCGAGGGAGGATATCAAGAAGGATGCCCTAGCTGTCGCAAACGCGGCGATCTACGCCCCGGAGACTGCAAAGAAGGCTTGTGTGGCTGCCATGTCCGCACTCGTGTCCATACTTTTGCACGTCGGCAAGACGTTCCCGGCAAAGCAGTGGCCCGATCACCTGTATTCGTTGGCTGTCGAAGGTCTCGGCTCGACGGATGCCATACTGCTGCAGATGCTGCGCGTAGCAGCACAGGTCTGTACGTAATGGTGCTGCTGTCAAGCTGCTGCCCGCTTGCTGGAGGACGCGGGCTATGGCAGCCTGGCTATACCAGAAGAAAAGAGCAAGGCGAAGCAGGGCGACGAGGATGCAGCTGAGACGGAAACGGGCGGGCAAGGGGAGTAGTCTAGGCGGGCACTTTGCGTGGGGGTGTTTGCTATTCTCGTCAGTTGTGTTTGTTGTTTCCAAAGTTTAATCGATAGAATGTACATGTTGGATGGATCTTGACTTTCCGTTTGCGATAATGCTCAGAAGGTTCATACAGGCGAGATGGTCGGTCAGTAATGAGAACCTGCCATGCAATCTCTGAAAGAACACCCTACCCTAGTTTCCCCCTCGTCACGATTGCCTGTCGAACTTGGGCTCTCGCCCAATGTTTTCATGAACTCTTTCTATTTGTCTTTGAACACGTTCTCGGCCCATTTCGTGGTTCGACGCAAATGAGCTCCTGCGTGATCCTGTGGCGATCTTTGTCCTTCCGGTTTTCTTCTGCTGTCTCGACTTTGCGCTTCTTCGTGAGCTGCCTCCCCGAATGTTCTTTGAGAACAAGCCCTTCAGCCAGCATGTTGATCGAGTGGTTCGCGACTATTGAGTCAAGCTTATCAATGATCGTCGACGTAGCCGCGCTGCTGTCGTCGACCCTGAACATCTCGAGGGCCCTCATGACAACCTCCATCTTCCGCAATTTTGACTCGACAGCTTTTGGGGTCGGTGGCTTTTCTTTTGGTTGGTCCACCGCATCGGGGAGAACGGTGGGAAGAGTCGGAGTGAACTTGCTGAACTTGACGGCGAAACCCCTCCTGTAAGCGTCTCGAAGATTGTGTCCGTTGTTCAGCGGGCTTGGCCCGTCCTAGTACGACCACGCCTGCCGCACGGACTCGCAATTGCACCACGACCACACCACTGCGTCGAAGAATGCTTGGTCGAGCTGGCTGCCCTTGCTATGTTGAGTGGGCGTTGATTGAGGGGGTTGCTGTGGTGGCGGGGTGGTTTCTTCGATCGCCGTCTGCGGCACACTCTCGCTCCCCCCCACATTCGCAGCTGCGGTTGTCGCGGCGTTAATCTTTAGTGCGTCGAACGCTTTCTGCAGTAGCGCGAGTGCTTCTGCCTTCGCCTCCAACTCCGCTTGCATCGCGCCCTTCTCCCGCTCCAATGACTCGATCTTCTGCTCGAGGCCCTTGATCTTGATTTCTTTTTTCCCACCCTCCTCCTTGTGTAAGTTAACCTCTGCCCGAAGTTGCGTGATGAGGTGCTTGGTGTTGAGTTGAAAGGATGCGTCCTGCGCACAAGTTCACGAGCGGTAAGTAAGTGGGCTGATGCAATCTATTCTGATTAAGATTTAGAAGGGCCATCTTACCGAAGCTCTCGACAGCGTGGGGTTGGTCCGCATCTCGATGCCGTACTTGTCGAGCAGGTACATGTCAAGCGCCCATTTTTGGAAATCCATGTCCTTGCACAAACCGGACATCTGTGCATAAGGGTGACGCTCGCAGTCGCAAACAGTCACTCCGTCGAAGGGGTGGTCGTCACAATGGACGTAGTACATCGCAAGATCCTCGGCGATGGGCATTCGGGCGGCTTGCAGGGCCTTCAAGAAACTTTTCGCTGCGAAGAACATATGCTCCTTCTCCTGCTCGTTGTTCCATTCCATCGCCTGAACAAGAACAAACGTGGTGACATTGAGAGATAGACGGGCAAAACTTGCATTCGATGATCACGCTAAGCGCTCGACGCATCCATACCTCGTCGAGCCACTGCTCCGCATTTGGAAATATGTGCTCCTCGATAGCCTCCAGGACCTTCGCGGGTACTTCGCTCTTCGATCTTCCAAGGTAATAGTCACCCGCTTCCGTCGTGAAACCCGCTTGCAGCTGGATGGCCCCGCGCGGGATGCCTGTGACGTGTGACCTGCGCATCTCGTTCATGTGCCATTGACCCAGCTGCGCGATGTTGTTGAGTTCACAGTTTTTGTCGGCGAGGATCTGTGCCGCAGACCGTCGAAAGATATGTGTGACTTTCGACAGGATCCACTCCGCGCTTTTCATCGCCCAGGTAACCCATTTGGCATGAGTCGCGTATGGCAACTCGGTCTTGTCCTTGTCGAAGAGGGCGAAGAACAGGTGCTTCTTTGACCAATTTGCCGGGTTGCTGAAATCCAAGGGGGGCACGATCTTATCGTTGTTGTAGTGGAGCGGCACAAGGTCGAAAATGAAATGTATCCACATGAACACTGCTCCGAAGCCGCACTGCCGGAAGTCCATGTGTCGAGTCAGGTACAGGTGGCCGAGCTTGTTGTCTTTGATGGTCTTCGAGTTGCGATAGGCGACCACGAGAACGTGGAGCGACGATTCCCCCTTGCTGTTCGTGATGGGCGGAAGAACGTGAGTGAACATATTGCAGTAGCGGATCTCGCGGATGCTTATCCCCCTGCCTAGCATGTGATGCGCCATCAGGATCATCACCGTCACGGCCAAGGCCCTCCACAGCGACTGACTGGGGAAACTCATCGGCTCCCGTAAGTACTCCTTGGCCCAGTACGGCAGGATGTCTGAAACGAGAATGCGGAACTGCTCCTCCGTGTAAACATCGTCGAGCGAGCCCCGGTGTGGATCGACGCACTGCCTGCATTGAGTGGGCAGATACAGCGAGTACTTGGGTGAGAACTTGAGTGAAAAGTTTTAGAGTCCGGTGTATGGCAGCCTACTTACTCGAATTGAAAGTCGTGCAGCTGCCGCAGTTTGACCGCAAGAAGCTGCCGGGCCTCGGTGATGTCGTCCAAGGGTTTCGTTAGTGGCTCGTCGAAGAGTATGGCCTCTACTCTGCAGAAGCACGTCAGCGCAGTAAGGCGCGCCAGCATCATCAGAGGGGTGTTTTTTTTCGCCTTCCTTCCAGCGACTCTGGACCGGCCTGTATCCAACGATGCCGCCTGTTGGTCGGTTTCAGTCGACATGTATTCGACGTACGCGCGCAAGCGCCATTTCGTTATTTTCGGCCCATGCAGGTGCTCCTCGTTACGCAGCGCCTCCCTCCATCTCGGCCCCATATCGTCGCCGATCTCCCTATCGATCTCGTCCTCGTAGATCACCTGCTCCTCTTTAGGCACTCCGTTGCTTCTCTCGGGTGCCAGAATTTTACAGGCCCAAGCTTTGTAGTGCATGCTTCCAGAGACATAGTTCGGCCGTGTGGAATCCTGGTCAACTCCCAGCAGCGGAACCTCACACCGCAGAATCCTGCTTTTAAGTGTTCCGGTCGCCAAGTACGGATTGTCTACGCCCGGTTGGTCGCTGAGAATGTGCGCGGCATCATCCTCTGATATATTTGCCGCAGCAGGCCGCAGAGGGTCTGGCGGTTCGACATCGTCCGCCTCCTGCTGTTCTCCCGTCCGAACATCCTCATCGTCCGTCGCTTCAGGGACGTTCCTGGCTAAGCCCTCTCTGCTTGGTCTCGTCGAAGTGCGCCTAGGAGCGGCGGGGGCGGCTCAAGAAGCGGATGTGCCGGCTGGGGGTGGTTGGCGAACCTCAGGCGGAACAGCCCTCGCTCTCCTACGTCGCCCACCTGTCGAGGTTGGTGCACCAGCCGAAGGTTTAGTCGAGCGGTGGGCTGTCGACGATGGTGCACGGTGAGCTGGAGCCTCGTGTGTAAAGGGGGCATTTGTTGTTGAGATGGGTTCTACGACAACATGTATGGATTGACTTGTCGAAGGGAATTCGATCTATGCACCACCCACTTTAACAGTGACCGGAATACCCGTCGTACGCTGGTCCGTAACAACCGGCTGTATTACTACTGGTATGGCTCGCGACGTCGAGGTGGGCGCTGCCACCTCCGGTATGCCACGCGTCGTCGAAGGGGGCGCGGAAGAAGGGGGTGATGTCGAGATGGACTCCATTTCGACAGGTATCCGTCCTACGTCCGCCTGCAGGGAAGGCGCTGTCGTCGACGGATCGGTCTCCATCAGTGCCCACCGAAATCTACCATTTCTCCCTAAATCCTGGCCTGCTGAGAAAACTGTGGTGCTTCTACTATGAATTCAGGTTTATACAGCGACCTTGGGCTGATGTTGCTCCCCGTGGAGACTGAGACATTTGACGTGAACGTTTGACTGCGTCAGACGTAACCAGTCGCCCATCCGACAGCGACAGTTCGCTCGACCGACGAGGTGACGGGTCGGCTGCAGTTGACGTGACGTCTGCGTCGATTGCGACCGTCGGCCGGTTGCGAAATAGGTTTCGCAACCGTCGACCGTCAGCGCCACCGTGTAGGCGATTGCCTGGCGACTTGCCACCGGGTGTAACCAGTGTTGTCGGGGGTGCACGGTGCTCGACGGCGATTGGCCAATGTCCGTCGAGCACTGTTCGACAAATGTCCCCGAAATTGCAACAGTGCGGCTGACATATATATTGGCATAAGAATACGACATTGAACCCGCGGGTTTCAGAGGGTTTTTTTTGCTCGGTCAGCCGGGGATTTTCGGGGGCCCGGAGGGATTCCGCGGGTTTTTCGTTTTGCCTCAAATGCCATTTGTGCCAGGGCGGGCGGGGCGGCATGTGATGACGTCACCCGTGTGCATATAATTGGAAAGACAAATGCACAAAGTGACGAAATTGTGACTTCGTTTCATTTCCTTCAGTAATCTAGTAGCTTCCTCTCCTTAGTCTCCACACGCCATCTGCACTCCCGGAAACAGTAATAATTTCTTTCTTTAACCGTCTACATATATTCATGCGTTTCTATTGACGCTTAGAATCACTGCTACAAGTTGTGCACAACTTCATAAGCCATCATCTCACATTTTCCGGATCCAACCTAGAAACCGATCGTCTGGAAGAGCTCACCGCACCACGATGGCAACGGACGGCCCGGGGCGCATCATTCGGCTCGGCTTACTCATCTTTCTGACGTGTCTCGCCGTGGTTTCTCCAGTCCGCTGTGTCCCATTCGCCGCCTCCGAAGGTTCGTCGTAGAATGAATTTGCAGATCGGCCGCTGTACCTTCTGCTACAAAGGTGTATATTTTGGCCAAGCTCATGCCGCTCCAGTTACTAGAAGTCTGCATGATGTTGGGTGCAGTGGCGCTATACACGTATCCATCAGATCCGTGATTCTCATCCAAACTCAGCGATGCAGGGCGGGGCATTTTTGTTCGTTTGAAGCGGCTCAATGAGATGTTTTACGTCTTACAACGTTCAAATGAATGTTTAGTTGGACAGGATGGGTATTGAGCAATGAAATGAATATGAGCAGCTTGACCGGCCAATTAGCATATGCATCGTTTCGCAGCATCGGAATTTCCTTGATATTCCCTCACACCTGTCTGCTACTGGTGCAGGGTTTGAAATGGAGGGAAGGCCATACGAATTTGAGCTGTTCGAAACATCTTTTCTTCCCTCCCAACCCCTCAGAAGCATGGTGCCCCCCCCCTCCTCCCCCCGCCCTCCTCATCTCCCGCTCATTTTATTGTGTATTCTATCTTTCCTGCTCCATTGCGGCCCCTCTCCTCCCTGCTTGTGCAGCCTGTGCAACTCCTGCTGGCTGGAATTCCAGCAGGCATTGGGGGGAGTTTGATGATTGGGTGGCTTCCTGCCATGGGTGAATGCAGCAATGGCAAGGCCTCGTGGCTTATTTACGTCCAAGAGTACCACTAGCTCAGGACTGCTCCCATGCGCATGCTTATCGCCCTAGTGGTTTTCAATCTCCGAATCGCATGTGTCCATTCTGCAGTCGTGTGGCGCAAGAGAACGGGAGACACGCAAGTTATGAGAGTCGTTTTTTCCTTCCTCCGTTCCCTGGTATCCTTCTCTTGCCCTCCTGCCCCCCTCTTCCCCACCATCTGCCGTCAGTGCAAGTCCTACTGGACTTGCAGCAAGCGTGGGGGCGGAATTACTCTGGGTGGGTGGCTGGGAGTTACTGCGAGGCGGTCTACGGTGTGTTGTGCGACCCCCTAGGCATGGTGACCTACTTGTAAGGGCAACAACTCTAGCTGGTCCTGCATCACCTTGTGTGCACCAAATTCGGGTGCCTCTGTTTTCCTCTCTCGCTCCACTGACCATTCATTCCCTGAATGCTTTTGTGTGTTTCGTTGTTCTTCACTTGCACTCCCTTTCTTTACAGCCGTTCGTACCGTACTTGAAGTTATGTTAAGGTTGATTTACATATTCGAACAATGTTAAGGAGCATCGTCCATGGGGTATCACGAAAGACCTCCCGTTCGATGTTATAGTGTTGCTATGTTTTGAATCATTGCAGACATGGGGTTCAATAGAGGGAGAGAGGAAGCAGGACAGGCATAGTTCTGGTAGTTCTGTCCGCAAGTCAGAAAACAAGTTCGCATGCCTAGGGGCATGGAAACAGTTGTAACTGCAGCAGGTTCGTGTGGAAATCTGTTATGTTGGATTCTGTCAATGGAGAAGTACAAAAAATGTGTGAGTGGAAGGAGTTAGGTGGTGGCGATGTATATGAGAGGTGTGGAAAAGATCGCAGTGATTGTGCTGGGGTCCTGCTCGATGCTTGGAGTTCTCGTGTGGGACTCCGTCTGGGGACGGGATTCACAGTGCCAGTGCCATTTATTAAAAGCAAATGCTTTTTTCGCAAATGTCACCGCATGACCAAAACGTCCGTTTGAAAAAGTAGAAATTGAACGTAGACATTTGAAAGCCGTACTAGGTGTTAATGCCGTCTAACCTACCTTATCATCTCCCCTTCCCTTTTCCGTTTCTTGCCGTTTCCCTCACATGGCTCATATTGAAAAGAGTTCAGTGTAGCAAAACACTGTCGTAGTGCACCTCTCAGGTTTCTACCATCCCCATGCATGCATGTTGGGATCGGTGGATGGACAACACATGGGCTGTACGAGCCCCTCCTTCTCAAATAACACCCTAAGCAACCTGATTCATTCACCAATGTCTCCTCTTCTTTCATTCTTGATCCCGTTTCCTCATAAGATTGTAATTCTTCCCAACCATTCCATCCCACTGCCCCCTAGAGATGTGCATGAGGAACGCTTAACCGGATCCATTCCAGATTCCATCAGTGCCTTGGACAGGCTGACCTATTTGTGAGTATGATTGGGAGGTTGCACACATGTGTATGAGCATGTAGAGATGGGCATGTGCACAGTTGAGTATGACCAATGCATGAGCAATCGCCTACATGTGACCAACTCGTGATGAGCCGTGGGTGACCATCATCGAACGATGGCCAGTCAGTGGTTGGCTTGTCACAAGCCAATGGATGGCCCTGCCTGCCAGGTTCGTGGTGAACCTACCTACCAGGCTTTTGATTGAAAGTTATGTACGGTGAATACAGTCGGGAGCAATAACAGTTTCCATGACATCCTTCCAAACTGGCTAAACCTTCCTCAATGTCCAACTTAATCTAGCGACCACAAAAATATCGAGTTTTGACAACCAACAAACCTAGCCATAAAGAATAGCTGAGGAGAGCCACAAGCTCATGTGGCTTGCCCGATGCCAGCTTGTCAAGCATGAAATGTCATAAAAATGAGTCAGTCTTGTGAGGGTGAGACAGTCTTGTGCACCTGAGAGTAAATATTGCATATGAGAGTGTGCATGCATGAATGGCTTGTGAACCAATTATATATTGTTCATGGGTTACCGAGGCACCTAACATTTGCTGTTTTGTCGGTGCTACAAAAGAGTCTCACCATCCCTTCATACAATCATTCTTGCCAACGCTGCTGGTGAAAAAACTTTTCTTCACGAGCTCAATCTGTTCAAATGCAGACAATGAAGACGTTATGTGATGGACTACGCTGTTCTAAGCACTGTGCATGCACGGCGGTTTCAGCTCATTGTTCCTTTCCTACTGTGCCTTTCCACCACCCCCAATATTGTGCACTCTATATTCTTCCCTGTGTCTTCTGAATGAGAACACATTTGCATGTTTGCGTACGGCTCAATATGAGGCAAGTTGTCTTCATATTTCACTTCTACAAATGGCTGTTTCTTGCATCATTCTGCTATAGAGTCAGTGATGAAGTCGAGCATCTTTTTTGTGTTGTGCTCACTCTCAAGCACCTTCTTGAATCAGTGGCACTTTGAATCTCTGTAATCGCTTGAGAATTGAAAGAGATATTGCTTATAATGCAAGGATGGGTACAAGTGACGAGTTTGAGGATAAACTCTCTGGATTGCTCTCTGGAATTTATATCTAAAACATGCAAGCACATTTGTAACATCGAGCCGCGCGCGACTCGCCGGAAATTCGGACTCAGGATCGCGTCCAATTTCCGCGACGTCCGCGTTCACAATTTCGGACTTTGCCGGGTTCGTTTCTTCACGCCGACAATCGTGTGTTACAAGGAACAATAGCGAGTGTAGCGAAATGTTCGTAACATTCGCTTGCACTCTCTCTATTTTCGTGCATGCATGTGGGGCTGCCAAGTGTCGCCCCCACAAATGTTCGGACCCAACCGGGGGAAGTTCGGTTGCGTGGCGATGCGGACAATCCGCCGTCACCCCAACCTTCCAAGAACGAACCCTCCCTTGGTCCGAGTCAAGGGAGGTCTTCGCGTGGGGGGCAATCCCGTCCCCCACACTTCCAACACTCCCTCTTGCACCCCACGCACACCTAAGCATGCAAGCCTACCCTAGCACAACATGCATGAAGAGCATCTCTAGGCAATGGCTTGGTGAGGAAGTCCGCGGGTTGGGAGTTGGTCTTGATGTAACGAAGCTCGACTTCGTTGTCTTCAACGAGCTTGCGAATGAAGTGGTGGCGGATTTGAATATGCTTGGTCCTTCCGTGAAGGACCGAATTCTTGGCTAGGCCAATGGCGGCTTGGTTGTCCACGTAAATGGGAGTGGGGCCTTCTTGTTTGTGCCCAAGCTCGGCAAGAAGGCGACGTAACCAAACCGCTTCCGTACCACCACGAGTGAGCGTCACGTATTCCGCTTCGGTGGAGCTAAGTGCAATCAAGTTTTGGCGCTTCCTTTGCCAACTTATTGCACCGCCCACGAGGGTGAAGATATAGCCCGAGGTGCTTTGGCGGGTTGAAGGATCTCCCGCCCAATCCGCATCCGTATAGCTTTGTAGCACCACGGGTCCATTCTCATAGTGCAACCCCATTCGAGTGGTGCCCTTGATGTAGCGAAGAAGGCGACGTGACGCTCGCACATGCTCGACCATGGGGTTGGAGACGACACGTCCAAGCACTCCAACGGGAAAGGAGAGGTCGGGTCGAGTGCTCACCGCGGCATACATGCACGACCCAACGATCGAGTGGAAAGCCTTGGCGCTCTCAGTATCCATGGGGTTCTCATTGCTCATGGCTAAGAGATGAAACCCCGCTTCCATGGGTGTCGGTGTAGGCTTGCTCTCGATCATGCCAAAGCGATCCACCACACTCTCCAAGTACTTGTGTTGGTGGAGAGCGAGAGTCTTGTTCACGCGATCACGATCGATGTGCATCCCTAGGTAGTGGGAGACGGCGCCGAGGTCACGCATAGAGAATTCGGCGGCAAGCTTCATGTTCACGTCCGCTACAAGGGTCTTGGAATCCGACACGAGGAGAAGGTCGTCGACGTAGAGGAGAAGAACGAGCTTCTTCTCATCCTTGTTGAGCATGTAGAGCGCGTGGTCACACTCGCTCCGCACAAACCCCAATGAGAGCAAGTGATCGTTGATCCTCGTGTACCACGCACGAGGGCTTTGCTTGAGGCCGTAGATCGTACGCTTGAGCTTGCACACGCGGTCGGAGTCGTCGTCGAACCCGGGAGGTTGCTTCATATACACCTCCTCCTTGAGACGACCGTAGAGAAACGCCGTCTTCACGTCGAGTTGTTCCACCTCCAAGTCGAGTGCTCCCGCCAACGCCAAGAGAGTGCGCAAGGTGGCGGACTTGGCAACGGGAGCGAACGTCTCGTTGTAGTGAAGACCCTCCTTTTGCGTGTACCCTTGAGCCACCAACCGCGCCTTGTACCGCTCCACTTCTCCATTTGGGCCGAGCTTCTTCTTGAAGACCCAACGAGAGCCAACGAGGTAGGCGCCGGGAGGCATGGGGACGCGCTCGTAGACGTCGTTCGCCATGAGCAAATCGTACTCCTCTTGAAGCGCACGTTCCCATTCCGCCGCTTCCGCCGAGCTCATGGCGCCTTGGTACGTGGACAGGGTGTCGGTGTACGCCTCAAGACACATAGCATCTCCCCCTCCCTCATCGTCCCCCGCCACAAGAGAGTAGCCATCCAACTTGGAGTTGGGACGAGGAGTCCTCCGAGTGCGAGTGGATGCGAGGGTGGGAGTGATTTTAGGAGGAGGGGACGAAGGGTCACTTTCCGTGGTATTTCCTTCATCCCCACTCACTCCAACCGTACCCGATCCATTCTCCCCCTCACTCGTACTAGGAGGAGAACTCGTAGGAGCTTCATCCGCCTCATCCGCTACATCCAAGGGTGGAGGGACAATGATGACCGAGGGCACGTGCATGGACTTGGACGGGAATGTGTCTTCGTAGAACACCACGTCGCGCGACACCACGAGTTTCCCGTGCTCCAAGTCCCACACACGCCACGCCTTGTGATCCGCGCTTGGACCCAAGTACATCGCCACCCGCGCCTTCGCCTCAAGCTTGGTCCGTGTGGCATCCGGGACATGGTAGTAGCACGTACACCCAAACGTGCGAAGGTCGGTGACGTCCGGCTTCGTACCGCTCCAAGCCTCAAGAGGCATCTTGGTCGGCAACGCCTTGGTCACGAACCGGTTGCGAATCCAAGTTGCCAACGTAACTGCCTCACCCCACCAATGCTTCTCCGCGTGAGCATGGGAGAGGAGGCTTCGTGCCGACTCCATGAGCGTGCGATTCAAGCGTTCAGCCGCACCGTTTTGTTGAGGCGTGTACGGCGTTGAGAACTCATGCGCGGTCCCACGCCCTTTCAACCAATCGCCGAGCTCCTGAGCGGTGTATTCGCCACCTCCATCCGAGCGAAAGCGCTTCACCTTGAAGCCGCTTTCCGTCTCCACATCCGCGACCCATCGCTTGATGGCGGTTGACGTGGCGTCCTTGTTCTTGAGAAGCCGAATCCAACACATCCGTGTCGCGTCTTCGAGGAGCGTAAGAACGTAGCGCGCGCCGCCCTTCGACGCGGGAGTGATCGGTCCGCACAAGTCCGTGTGAACAAGCTTGAGAGGTTCAGTGGCGTTTGGCTTCTTGCTTGGTGGAAAAGGCTTCCGTGCCATTTTCCCTTTGAGGCAACCGACACACTTCTCGTCGTCTCCACCCGAGCGCACAAACACCAAGCCATCGACAATCCCCTTCGTTGCCATAGCTTGAATAGCGGCGTGGTTGAGGTGGCCATACCGATTATGCCACGTCGAGAGAGTGGTTGTCGAGGTAGCCGCTTGAGCCGTCGCCACACTTGGGAGAGCGTCGAGCACGAAGAGTCCTCCCGCTTGGCGTGCCGTGCCGATGTGTACTCCGTCCGTCAGGCTCAACGCCATCATGCTCCCTTCAATATTCACACGCATCCCCTTGCGTGTAAATTGCGAAACGGAGAGGAGGTTGGCGCCGAGCCCGGGAACCACCAAGACATTCTTGATGGTGAGTGGACCGCCGTTCACCATGAGCCGCAAGTCGCCTTGTCTCGTGACGTCCAACGTGTCACGGTTGCCGAACATCACGCGCTTAACGGGAGCCACCGTTGTCACGTTGTTGAGAAGCGCCGCGCACGCCGTCATGTTTTGAGTAGCACCCGTGTCGAGTACCCACGCGTCAACACCACCGACGGACGTTCCACTTGCGACGAAGACGAACTCCCGGTCGTTGTTGTCGCATGTCGCCACATGCGCGCGCCGGTTGTCGTCACTTGAAGACAGTCTCCAATTTGCCGGTTTAACGGGACAATCGCGCCACCAATGTCCCGTCTTCTTGCAAAAACGACAAGCTCCGTCGCGCGTCCGAGCTCGATTGGCGTTGGCCGGTCCTCCTCGTGATGAGCTTGAGGCCGCCGCGCTCCGGCTCGAGCTCCCGCGGTTGTTGCCGTCGTTGCGCCACTTGAAGTGACCCGACCCTTTTGCCTTCGCATCGCGGGAGAAGTGTGCCGCGCCGATTGCATCTCCATGCAATTTCGTGCGCCTCGCCTCTTCGTTGATGAGGCGTGCCACCACTTGCTCCTTCTTCCATGTGTCTTGCGTCCCATCCAACATCGTGATCACCGTTAACCATGCTTCACCAAGTCCCGCGAGGAGTGTCATGATCCAATCGTTATCCTCCACGCTCGCGTCGAGTTCCACCAAGCGCTCGCCAAGCTCCTCCACGCGGTTGATGTACGCGCGCACTGACTCGCCGTCCTTCATCCGCACCGTGAAGAAGTCGAGGCGCGCTTAAAGCTTGCTATGAAGTGACTTGGAGACGTGCTCTCCTTCGAGTCGCTTCCACGCTTCACGAGTCGCGCCGTCACGGTCGATGCACGGGCTCACGATCGGGACGAGTTGGAGACTTAGCTTGGAGACAAGAAAGGCAAACGCCTTTTTGTCCTTTCGCACCCACGCTTCCTTCTCCGCGGTTGAAGTGTCCGACGAGGGCTTCGATGCCGACCCATCGAAGAAGCCCCACATGTCGCGCTCCATCATGTAGACTTTCAACTTGAAGCACCACGAGGAGAAATGCTCCCAGTTAAAAATTGGCACAGCGCTCAAGTCGACAACGTGCGGCGTTGTCGAGAAGTCTGTTGGGAGGGAAGGGGCCGTTGGCGCATTCGTTGTCGACGAATTATCGGAGGAACCCATGGCGTAGCAACGATTGAGCAAGCACTCCTACTCTAGCTCTCATACCATGAAAGAAACCGTCCTGCTCCTAAGGACGCCACAGAATGCAGCTGGCGAGCTAGGAGCCAAGACTAGGATCGTTCCGACGGGCTCAGAGCAAGGAATCAGTGGCACTTTAAATCTCTGTAATCGCCTGAGAATTGAAAGAAATATTGCTTATAATGCAAGGATGGGTACAAGTGACGAGTTTGAGGATAAACTCTCTGGATTTCTCTCTGGAATTTATATCTAAAACATGCAAGCACATTTGTAACATCGAACCGCGCGCGACTCGCCGGAAATTCGGACTCAGGATCGCGTCCAATTTCCGCGACGTCCGCGTTCACAATTTCGAACTTTGCCGGGTTCGTTTCTTCACGCCGACAATCGTGTGTTACAAGGAACAATAGCGAGTGTAGCAAAATGTTCGTAACATTCGCTTGCACTCTCTCTATTTTCGTGCATGCATGTGGGGCTGCCAAGTGTCGCCCCCACAAATGTTCGGACCCAACCGGGGGAAGTTCGGTTGCGTGGCGACGCGGACAATCGCCGTCACCCCAACCTTCCAAGAACGAACCCTCCCTTGGTCCGAGTCAAGGGAGGTCTTCGCGTGGGGGGTAATCCCGTCCCCCACACTTCCAACAATATATATATATATATATTTATATATATTTTGTATCAGTCGTATGTATGCATGGCCAAATACTTGAGCTGACCCAAAACGTCTAGGTCGACCCAAGGTGGGTACAGGCCGGGTCGACCCAATCGTGGGTAATGATTAGGCATGATCATTAGGCCCGACCCGACCCGACCCGACCCGACTTGGGCGGCCCAGCCGGGTTCCGGGTCGGGTTGGGTCGGGTCGAAACTTCAAAAAATCCTGGCCCGACCCGGGTATCGGGTGCCGGGTCAGGCGTGACCCGCCCCCGGGTCGGGTCGGGTAGGGGCCGGGGCGGGTCGGGTTGGGCCAGGACTCCATATGCAGGGTAAGAGGTTCCTAAGTTGGAAAAAACGCTAGTTTCAAGTTGCGTATTGAGTTTATACGCATCTAGAATTCGTACGCTGCGGATTTTTCTAGAATTCGCCAAATTTGGCTCGGGCTGACCGGAAAAAAAAAAGAGATGAGTTCGCGATCTGGCGAACTCAAATTTGAGTCTCGAAATTCAGATCTGAGTTCGCGCGTTGCTAAAGCATTTTCAGATCTGAATTTCGAGATTGTTGGTGGATCATTCCCTCTTATCCACCGCTCACAACCCACCTTCACCCCATCCAATTTGTTGCCAACTTCTACCAGACTCACTCAATGTCAGGCTGCTTTTCCCTTCAATAATCTTTGCGTTCGATTTCTTCCTCTTCACTTTGACGATGACCTACTACAGCAGCAGTTAGGTAATGGATTACTACAGCAGCTCCGGTCTAGTGTTTAGACATTGACTTCGCGATCTGCTTTAGTGCAACTTGTCGAGGGAATGTCAATGTCGAGGGAACAAACAAACCCTAGACATTGACTTCGCGATCTGCTTTAGTGCAACTTGTCGAGGGAGGAAAAGTCGGGTTGGGCCAAATACTCGACCCTACTTAGGGCGCGGTACCCGAAACCGGGTCGGGTACGACTTAGGGTCTAAATCTGACCCGACCCGACCCGACCCGGTTTCGGGTGTCGGGTCGACCCGACCCGACCGGGTAACCCGACCCGACCCGGCCGGGTCAGCGCTTCAAAATGCCTGACCCGACCCACCGGGGCAGGATGATCATGCCTAGTAATGATCCCTAGGTCGGGTCAATATACCGGACTAAACCAATCATTTTATCAGTTCGTAAAGAGTTGTGTTTTATATTGTGTGTTTTAAAAGTAAAAGAGCCTGTAATATAAGTGAAAAAAAAGCACGCACCAAAAAATAATATGAAAAACGTATGCCCGCATGCAACAGGCGCATGTAAAGCAGCACCATATCAACCTAGCATCAATGCTGAAACCTAGGTCAATATCCATGAAAATTAATTAATCTTTCGGGTAAAGAATCGACCCGACCCGGTCAGGTAAACCTGCCCGACCCAGCTCGATTGGTAGGATCAGCTACTATGAATACCCGGATAGGCCTAATCTTGAGTTGGGTATACCCATGCATAGTGCTTCGCATGTGCTTCATAGCAATAGTTTGACCATTTTCGTTATTAGTAGTTCTGTTTTGTTGCTGTATTTCATATTGATTTCCAACCATAATGCCCTTTGCATGCTGTACCATCAGAGATTTCAGCAACAACTCTATTAGTGGATCTATTCCATCCACCATTGGCAACATCAGAAACCTCGTTGTGTTGTGAGTATCGAGGGAATAAGAAAGAGACCCTACATGACCTTCCCAACGTTCAGAAATATGATGACTTACTGTAGTGGCACTAAGCCAACCTGATTTGAGAATGAGCATACACTCTAGGCATGAGCAAAGGCTGGCACTAGGCTGAGCCATGCCGCTGACCCACCTGGGGGCCAGGGCCAGCCTGGGGGCCGGCCTGTGATGGATTGGTTTCACACCAAGCCTTTCAGAGGTCTTCAGTAATGGGACAAGGTGTAGTCGCCCACTTATCCGCACAAGGCTGGCAATCTGCTGGTTTGATCCGTATGGATCTGGCGAAGAGCACAACTGACTGGCAAACCAGCAAGATGGTGCTTGCCCTACTTTTTGGCACGTATACTCCTTTAGCATATTCTGTGTTTATGAAGCTAGTTAAACAGGGTTGTAGAGGCAGGTATTAACATAACTTAATCTCAGCAACAAGATCCAAAATGGCGGGGTCGACATTTGTCGAACCACCAGACAACGTGGAGGTCGGGGTCCGATAACCAGCCCATTTAACATAATCGACTTGATTTTGGGTGGGGTCGACTTGGCCCAATAGGTCGACATTACCCGATAGTAAAAGGCCATTTCTGGAATGGGGTCGACCCGACCTGGTCTTGTAAGCCCAAACCGACCCTGCTGCGTTGGTAGAACCAGCTATTATGCATCCCTGACCCGGCCTACAGTCAGGTCGGTTTGGGCATGCTTAGGGATGAGCAAGGGGCGAACGCGAACATCGCCCCTGCACGAACACCGCCTTTCGGCGAACTGAACACTGTTCGGTTCGCCTAACACCTTTTGGAAAAAAGGTGTTCGGTGTTCGCCTGTGAACACCTTGCTGGCACTGGCGAACACGAACGTGTTTGTCGCAAACACGTTCGTGTTCGCCCAGGGACAACCTTCACTACAGTCACACATGGCAGGCAGGGAAATCGGCCCTCCCAGATGGTTGGTAGAAGGGTTACGAGTGTTGTGGTGGAGTACTGTGGTGTTCTATTACTCCACTGTGTACCCTAAAAAGTTCTATGATGGAGTAGTGATGCTCTTATTACTCCTAAGTAAGGGCGCTAGTGGGCTTTAGGGGGCTGGCGCCAAGGTCGTGAACTGTTTGAGCTCGAAAAATAAGCTCAAACACATTGACCAGCGGCCTAAACATTAGCGTTCGTCGACGCCCCGTGTCGAACGTGTTCGTGTTCGACGCTTCTCGGCCAGCAGTAGGAGGCGAACACCAAACATGTTCGGGCAAACATCGAACACGTTCGCCACGAACATTTAAGCCAAAAAAAGAACCTGTTTGGTTCGCCTCGAACGTGTTCGAGGCGAGCCGAACAGGTGTTTGTTTTTGTGCTCAATCCTAGGCATGCTCAACCTGGCCGGGTTGTATGTCCATACCTAGTTTGATCATATGCGTTAATAGTGGTTCTGTTTTCTTCGAACGTGCTTTATCACAATGGTTTGACCATATCCGTTAATAGTGGTTCTGTTTTCTTGCTGTATTCAGTATTTCTTTCCACCCATAACAACCTTTGGATGTTCCACATTCAGGTATCTTGACAACAACGCTTTAAGTGGGTCTATTCCATCCACCATCGGCAACATGAAAAAACTCGCGGCATTGTGAGTGTCATCATGGGATCAACAAAAAGAAGCTAGCATGACCTCACAAAGTTTCATCCATAAGGGGGTGTATGATGGTGACACTAGAATAAGCATACACGCTAGTAGGCTTGAGCACCTAGGCGAACATGTGTTTGGTTCGCCTTGAACATGTGTCTGGGCTGAAAGTGTTCCAGGCGAACATGTTCGTATTCGCCCAGACACGTTCGTGCTCGGTTCGCCGTGGCTTGCCAAGCCGAGGCAGACATGAACATGTTCATGATTGCAGGACCCTTCGGACGAACACAAATGTGTTTGCCCGAAAAGTCCCGCGACCCCTTTTTTAGGTCGGCGGTTTCTCTTTGACAACCTCACTTTGAGTTTGATTTTAGTTGTAAGTCACGAACCACAGCCTAAGAATATCTTAAACTTCATTTATAGGTTGGTGCAACCATTTTTTTCTAACCCAGGCTAGTTTAGGTTTGGCGCCATTATGATTTAGGGCGTTAGAGAAGAAACAAGCCACCAGGAACACAAAATTTCTTACTCTGGTTAATGCGACTATATTGGATTGAAGGCTCCCGACAGGCGAGCACAAACACGTTCGTGCGC